TAGTTAAACAGCAAATTATAAATCAATAGTTGAACAGAAAATTTTCACATTTCAATTAATCTCATTCACTTCTCTGTTACACAAAAACAGGTAAAAAGAATGACAGCAAAGACAATGTCAGGACATTAGATTTGTTCACCTTGAAGAATACTGATCTGGCTAGGAGAACAAGACGCCAGATCTGACTTGCAACGGCTCCAATGTCCTGTCGGATCGGCTGAAGGTGGCACAAATATATGGCCAATCTGTTTAACATAAAGAATTCAAATTATCATGTTAAAAGTAGAACATCAACTGATTGAAATAAATAGAATTTCCAATTCCTCACCTGATAAGTATCATAAGCAGAATTCAGAATGAAAAAAGGATTTCTGATGAAAGGAAGATTATATTGAGGGAAGAAGCACTGCAAGAGCAAATAAGCATTATCAGCCAATAGGATGTTTACTGCTTTTACCATTTTATACTAAAAGTAGTAAAAAGAGATCAACCTGACTGGGGAAGTAATGAGAAGCCAAGCACGCCTTGTTTAAGTTGTTCTCTACTCCCTACAACATTGACTTCTTGTTATTTAAATTTGTAACTTAAATGGAAGACAGAAACTGACCTGTAGCTTAACCACACTATTGAAAAAGGTTCTTATGGTGTCATTGCCAGTTATGTCGTTCCTGAAAATTTAAGAATAAAGATTAAGAAAGCCTTATTAATTTGAAATAATAACTTAATGAAGCAGTAAGAAGATTACACATCAAGGAAGAACCCTGCATCACTCATGCATTTTACGATGGTCGAATCTGGGAGCATCTGAGAGAGAGAATCACAGTGAAGGAAGGTGGCAAGTCCACCTGCTGAGCACCCTGAAAGCAAGACCTGAAGGATTGGAAGATAATTTACAGAAACACAATTAGTAATTATGATAACCAAACCCGCCTAACCGGCCGATCTGAAGCAAATAGAAAAAGTTTTGGCAAACACAGAAGGTAGGGGAAACAGTAATCAATTATGAATCAGAAATCACAGCAAGATGGAATAAACTTGTCTGCCAAGTTGGGTGGCTAAGTACACCATGATAAGCATTGATGTGGCAGGCTGAAGATTGGGTGAAAAATAAGGACCATTGGGCTAAAGCAATGATTGATTTACCAAAAAGGACTGTAGAATAGTTATTAGGGTCATAAACATTGCATGTGCTTTAGCCTGTGTGTGTGTGTGGGGGGGGGGGGGGGGGGGGTGAGTGAGTTGGCCAATTGTAAACAATGAGGTCAGCCTTTGGCCTATTTTCGCCAAGTACACTATATTTGTACATTATGTATCATTTTCTTTCCTCATGAGGTTGTTTTCTCCTGATGTTTTGCATATATTTTTATTTACTCATAGTAATGAACGGAGGCCACGTTCACTCAAAAGAGATGCATATCTATAAAATTCCTGAGGCGTTTATTGAGAAGCATGACAAAGTCATAAATTTCTTAATCATTGTTTTTTCTTTATTTTTTTTTTTCTGATGAAATGATGGGACAACAAATAATTATAAGTGTGTGGCAATTGAAGAACTCATGCTATTAAGAGGAATAATTATATCATCACTCCAATGAAATTATAATGAGCCTATCCGTAATCTTATTTCACTCATAGTATATATAAAATAAAATGGTTACATTTTTTATTAATTGCTAAAAGAAAATTCATGAGACGGATGAAAGTGCTAAGGTTTTACATAAACTCTGCATTGCTAAAAAAAATTCTAGTCAACGCCAATAAAGAATTGTAAAGGACAAAAATATTTTTCCTACAATGAATCAACTCCGAAAGGGAAAAAATCAACTTAGAAGGTCCAAGCCCAGTATTAAAATATCACAAATTAAAGTATAAGTAGGTCATAAATAAAGATACAATCACATTCTTCACAGTTGGAAAGAAGAATTAAGAATTTATTTTAATTAAACAAATTATAAATTATAAATTTTTTATCTAAGGAGATTATAATAATAGAAAAAGATATGTAATCCTATCAAGATGAATAGTATATAAACAAATACACCTATATGTCACTTGCACGCCCTCTTAACTCACTTTCCGTTCAATCCGGATATTAATTAATTCAAAAGTATCAAGTGCCTCCTCAACTATTAAAGGTAATGAAGTGCTACTCTATACTAACCTTCTAAATTCTTTCATCAGTCAAGAGCCAATAAAAAATTTACACTAAATATTAGATATGTGCTACCCATAAATAAATGAAATATGTGAAAAAAGAATGATTTTGTGTGAGTACCACTCCTTCAGAAGCTCTCACCACCCTCTTTTTTAGTAAAATTAAATTGATGACTTGCCAAATCCCTTTCATTCCTCCAAATAATTTTTCTCCGAAAGTAGAGGCCGACTCTACTATCTTGTAATAGGAGGTAACCAAAAAATCCCTCGTTTCAGGATTCCAGATTTTATATTTTATCTAAATATGTGTGCAAATAATATCTCTTTTTAATAGCATCTAGTGCCTCCTTCTTTATATATTGAAGGAAATAAATTAATCATTTTATTCTCCCGTTACATCATCTTCGGTTCAAAGTTTCTTGGTCCTGGATAATTTGTATATATACGGCCGAGCCTTCCTGATTCTGTTTAGGTGGTTTTAATTTACTCTAAATCCGGGTCATCCGAGGTAAAATCTGGTGTTATAAATTATTATAGGTTACACACATATCATGACAAGTACCGAATGTTTCATAAATGGGGTAATATATTTAGTTTAGTTTTCCACTCATACACCCGATCACTTTAATATTATATTTGTTTGTTTATATGAGGTTTCATATGTGTTCTTTTATGTTTCAATTCCTAGCGAGACCGCACGAGCCGGGTATCTGAACTCGGGGTTCTATAGTGGAGTTGATACCTTCGAGTAGATTATGACATTGTCCACAAAAAACTCGTCGAGAATCCCCATTGAGTAGTAAGTCTACACTACGTCACAGTTCACATGTGACACATAACGTAGAATTCCGCAATGCTAGCTAAGAAATCTAGATCATTCAAAGAAAAATAATGTAACATCTAGAGTACAAAGACTAGAAAGTATATGGGATACCGCTCAAAAAGGGTGGAACTATGTAGAGTCTCATAATTTGCATTTTCCAACAACCAATACCCCTCAAAGCTATATTTAAATTGTTTGTGGCCCGATATGCGACTTTCTCTCATTCTTCTTGTCTTTGCTGTGCTTAGTGCTGGTGGATTGGGGCATATGTTAGGAAGTGTACTGACCTGGCGGATAGCAACGTTTGAATGAAGCCGGGATCAAGATGTCGGTCTAGCGATTTCTTAGCGTTGAGATCGCGGATACGGATACTTGATCATAGGCCTCACGACCTAACCTAGAAGCTAAATGCACGACAGTGATTAAGTTTATTGCTACCTGATTGTTGAGGAAAGCGATGTGAGTAACGTGGATAAAAATGGGTAAGCAAAAAGTACCTGGAGGTTCTTAGACACCTCTAAGGTAAAAAACTAGGACAAACGGTCAGACGTAATTGTACTATATAAAGTTCTATCTTGAGCAAATGGTTTACAGAAGTACAGGTCTACTGAGTACTCGTCCGATAGAAGATATCGACCCCGTGAGGGAACAACAGTCAAAATTTTGTCCTAAGATGTACTGGAGATGAGCAAACTATCGCGGAAAGTGTGTACTCATCGTGCGTTCAATCCCGCCTGGGGCTATATCCCTGAGCGTTCGAGTATGTATATACCGGTGTGCTACAAATATCCGCTCGCGCTCACACAACAATCCATGGTATGCTCGGTTTCAGTCACGGCCAGCCAAGTTTCACATAATGGTTCAACCAAGCCCCGAGGTCCCTGATCTCATGATGTTAGTGTGTTTGTGGTGTTCGGTGTGGAGTGTTCAAGGTAAAGTTTACGCGGATCGTTGTTTCACAATCAAAAATGTCTGATTCACAGAAATCAGCGGTGGCCACCTATCTCCTGCGCATCGCCTTTGTTTTACAATGATGGTGTGCATAAACTCTTTCGAGTGCCCATTCTACCCATATGGCTATGATAAAATATGCTGAGTAATTGCTGAATCCCGGATTAGGCTTAGATACCACTATAGAGCAATTTCTACGTCCATTTTTTCGAAAATCGCCACCCTAGTGCCTGGACTGATACCGGTACGTTCAGGTCAAATAATCAAGGCAAAATATGGAGAATGTTCATTTTTAGGCTGACGGCTTTCGCGAATAACTATCTAATTGCACTCTGCCTAAAGAAACGATACCATCCAAATATTTGATATATGGGCCTTGCAAAAATTTTGCCGCACGTATTTACTCGCCGGATCCGTGAACCCCACTTGCTTACATTCCTTTCGGTGGTTTATCACCAGGAGGTGGAGGTTGTTCGAAAGTGAGTAAGTCAAAAATAATTCAAATCAACATAAGCAATCACCGAAACAAAAATGGGTTTATTCATAGAATGAGCGCTAGGAAATTAATAAAGGTTTTACAAAAATACGCCACACGTATTACTCTATAAGCAATTTTGCCTCTTCATCTTGTGTGTCTGTCACGCCTCTGCCTTTTATATGATTTTCGCTAAGAGATTAACCGAGAACAATTTTGCCTTTGTTAGTGTGACTATTAAATTCTATCCCATCTCATGATATAACTTTCCGTTAATTAATCTAGCACGCTCTTCGGCGCATAAGCTTGTGAAGAAACGTTACTAGAACAAATAAAGTTAAAGTTTAAGAAGAGATAAGTGTACGGTGCCTCCTCCAGTTCCATCAAACATAATACAATAAGATGGATAAGAACATAAAATACCCGTAATCTAGTGTTATACGTATCATGGAGTGAAGTTAAGGAAAAATCTAAAGGAAACGACCGCAACTATTCTTTGAAAAAATTTGCCTTTTGCATGCGATAAAAAACAATCATTTCTAATTGTGACCTTACATATTAAATGTGAATATACGACATGGAGATTTTATACGATCGTTATCTTAGCTTAAAAGTAATGGATATTTTAAAACTGCTCACTACGACCTCGAGATCTCACAGACTCTCTAGCAAATTGAGCCATAACATAAATAGAGAGACATGTCGAGGCAAGATATTGTGGATTAACTCGAAGTAAACTTCGATTTTAAGGATGATCACATTTGTTTCAACTATAGATACGAATCTCTTCAGGAATCGGCTATTTGATAGGTCCATTTTTTAGCCCTACTAAGATGAGGAGAATTACTTCCGCGAAATGCTACACAACTATCTGGTATGGGACATCAAGGATCTCTATCGTAGCTGCAGATCACTTGTGGGTCGATAGTGCTCACAAAATAATATGAGTTTGCGAGTATCGTTCTTAAGAATTCATATTGTGTAGTTATAAAAACCTGTGAGTTTGTAATATTGACTTTTGTCGCTATACGGGCGGCAGATATCATATAGTTCATACCATCCTTTAATTAGATAGTTATGCACAAGTAAAAAATGCAAAAGAAAAGTGGCTCAATTTTATATAGTGTGCTTACCCAAAACACAAATATATATATTATTTAGAAAAATTTCCTATTTTTGATTAAGATAACGGATAACATCTTCCACAAGGATCAGAAAACTTTAGGAAAGCCCATATTATGTGGGAAATCTTACAAACTTGTCCTTCAATTCAGCAGGGCCTGACTGAATCCCACGCCACAACTTGAGTAGCAGTTGGTCTATGCCCCATACGCTTTAAGCTCGTGATAATAAACACATCCTGGTTTTATTAAAGAGAGTATCGACATGTAACTTTGAGCATGCTCGATATATACGATCAATTATCTGTAGATCTATGTGTGTGTATAACCTCTAGTAAATTAATTGGTGTTGGAAACCAATAAGAATAACCTAGA